TGTTGACATTTGATGTCCTGCTAAACATAGCCTCACTACTCGGGATTTTAAATTTAAAGCCTTTCATTATCTTTATTGTTAACAATCTCTATTTTGGTTGACTGCCAGAAACAATAGTTTGGTTTTATTATTTCTAAGATTTAATTTTTCCTCTAGTTTTGCGTTTTCTGGCTGAAGCATTATTGGAAGCCTGAAATGTGGATTACTTGAATACTCATGCTGTAAAATGATCAGGGCTGTTCTATCTCAAAGAAGTCCTGTATGGAATCTTGTAAATCCATTCAAGTTCTTGTTTATGGTTGCAAGAAAATTATATCCTGTGCTGTAAGTAAGTTGACTGGGTATTGAAGCTCTTTAGGATATGATCCTCTTCTTTCTTCTTAATGAATCTAAACTCATGTTGGCAGAGCAATAAAATATGATGCACTTAAATCTGACTGTTAATACCACTTCCTGCACGTTCCTTTAAAATAAAATAAATGTTCATTTGCTAAGTGGAGATCTAGCCTCATCAACTAAGGATGCAACATGGATAGCAAAAGTCATTAGCATAATACATATGCTTGCAAAAGGACTTTGGAATGCCTAAACTAAAAAAGTACACTACCAAGGTCTTGGAAAGAATTTCGAATTCCAAGGCCAAAGAATCTACTGAATATTAATCTTCTTTATCAAAAAGTTGATTTGGAGTACTAAAGACAAAAATAAGCTTATTGTGCAATACACAAAATACTCTTAGGAGACTTCAGGGTATTGTGGAAAGATGTTGCCCTAAAAAATCAGGGGAGCCCATAGTCTTAATGTTGATACCAGTTTGCTTGGAAACATTTGGAGAGGAAGAGCAGCTTATGAACATTCTCTTCCCCACTTGTAAAATGAGAGATTCAAGTGTGTAATTCTAGGATTTTTTTCTCCAGCAAACTGAATCTCACAGGGTTTTATGGCCTAATATGAGTGGCAGGATCAAGAGAAGAAATTTGGGGGGAAAGAAAACACCCAAGTTACAAACTTATAACTGGAGTTCTATCTCCCAAGGTTACTCAGTTTTCTGAACTAAAAGCATTTCTGCATATCCATTCAAGTGCCACCTTCAAAGAGAATAGAGTACATATTCCCTAATTTTAACAAAAACCCAAAGCGGGACTGTTAGGAAGTTCTAATGTACAAATAGATAATTGGTGATTGCTTGTCTCTGTGTTTATGATCTCTATAAATCACGAACATTTGAAAACTTTACTTGGAGTACCTTCCAAATGATAACTTCATGAGTTTGTGGGGGAGAGCACTTTTCAACAACAACAGACACTCTGAATCTAAGATGAAAAGTCCACTGGTCTTGAGGGGAATCTATGAAGACTGTTTTCCTCCACTTTTCCTGACACCTATTTGCAGACTCTCACTATAAGAACACAAATTCATTCTTTTATTCTCATGCTCATCTGTCTGCAGAGCATTTGCCGAGAGACAAAATCAGGTATCCACCAGAGAAGAGGTTAAGACTTGATATATTCAAGCTATGACAGGTACTGGAATCAGGAATCTTAGCATCCCTCCGTAAATCAAATCTTTAAAGGAAACTAAAACTATACATCTACACATCTACACAAGCTAAATACATATTATATACATTATATATAAATACATATGTTTAATGTATCATATATATTTGGGGTGGGGGAATTGTTTTGTTTTGGGGGCCACAACTAGTGATGCTCAGGGCTTACTCCTGTCTCTGCACTCGGGGATCACTCCTGGCAGGCTGGGAGGCCATATGGGGTGTTGGGGATCGAACACAGGTAGGTTGCGTGCAAAGCAAGTGTCTTACCCACTGCACTATCACTCCAGGCCACTCTTCACACATATTTACAGATGACTTTGAGATGTTAACTAACCATTCCCTAAGTAACACATCTCAAGATAACCAAAGGTTATATCAGTAATTATGTTTTTAAGAGGCTAACCTATTACCCATTAGAATGCATGAGACATCCTCTAAGAAACTAAGATTTCCATTTCAAATGCAGATATGAACATTCTCCAGCAAACTGAATCTCACAAGGTTTTATGGCCTAATCTGAGTGGCAGGATCAAGAGAAGAAATTTGCATTTCAAATGCAGATTTGTGCTTTAAGAAGAACTGCACATGTCCGAAGTTACATTATTTCAAAAATAATTTCCATCTGCAAGATCCCGGTTCAGAGGAAAAACATGTCTATGCTTAAAAATCTATTTTATGGGGCCAGAATGATAGTACGGTGAGCAAGGCACTTACAGGTTTGGATTTAATTCCTGTCACCACATATGGTCCCCTATGGTCCCCACCACATAAAATCCACCAGAAATTATCCCTGAGTGGAGAGCCAGGAATAAACACTGAGCACACCTAGGTGAGGCAACAAAACTCATAATGAATCATTTTGATATAATCATTTATAATAATTTTGGGCCTATTCAGCTTTGAGGTAGAAATCAGTTCAATAACATACTTTACGTTATGTTACTTTACTTAAAATAACATACTTATGTTATTTTACATATGTTAGTTCCAAGTGAAAATGGAAGTAACATAAGACTAAAACTTCTCTTTTTCTAATATTTTATTGCTATTCAACTTTCAAACTTTATAACTCTAACACTTTTGCTGCTGCTTTTCTTCATGCCTCTACCCCCTCGCCTTAACAAATCAATTTTTGAAAAGATGTAGGAGTTCTGGTCTTTATTTTTGTCTCCCAGACAAGATGCTTAGGGGTCACTTCCCATGTACGGAGAAAACAATCTTCATGGATAATAATGATAAAACCTTATGGAATGCAAAAACAACCAAAATATGTATTCTCGTATGACTGCACTAGGGCCAGCCAAGTCAATATTAGTCCCACTTCACCCACGCACCACATAGTCTAAAAATGCTGTCAGCCTGATAAGAATTTCCTGATCTACTATTTTTTTTTTCCAAAAGAAAATATAGGTCATCAAAATAAAGTCTTGACAAAAAAAGAACAGTAGTTATACCATCTAGTCTCTTGTTATTTGTTAGCCAGTTATAGTCAGCTTCTTTACTTTGAAATAAAATCATCTCAAACAAGCCATTTGTTATCAAAGCAACACACATATCCCTAAGCATATTCCCAGCTAAATCCTTAAAGTCACTTCAGTTTAATATCTACTTTAAGGGCTATCTACAGAAGTGTAAGGTATAGCAGAAGTTGCTAATTATCTGTACCATTCATCCAGGAAGACAATTCAAATTTTAAAAAAAAAATGGTGATGGTCTTAGCAAATGAAAGAATTTCAGGAACTGAATCCTAGGGCAACTGAAAATTAAAGTATTGGAGTTACTTCTTAATGAAAAACTTATTTATATGATTAGTAATTTATCATTTTTCTGCTACTGAATTTTATTTTCTAGCTCAGAGGAATAGCCCAATTCTAGTTACCATATTGTTTACACAAAATTATTTTCACACTTCCAGGAAATTATTAGAAACTTCTACAAATTCATTTGATTTTTAAGGGGGGGAGATATATTTCTGAGTCTTTTGTAAAGTTTGAGTCTGTTGCTCTTCCACATTCCAATTGATAATTGGAGGCCTCTCCAGTGTCTGAGATGGACGAAAGGAGAGAGGAAAGAAGGGAGTGTTCATAAAAGATAAAATTGATATCCAGTCCCTTTGCCTTACTTGCCTGACTTGTACCTAAATAGCTTTCTTCGTGACTCATATCTTTTTATATTTAAAGTCAGAAAAAAAGTATAAATAAAATGTTTTGTTACTCGTGACCACAAATTATAAAATGCTTTCGAAAACGAAACTTTCTCTGAAATACTTAAACTACTACTGTTTTCAAAACGATAAAAGTCTTCTGGTGAATATTAGACCATTTCACAGATAAATCATCTGGGATTTTGTCTCCCGAGAATCAGCTGAATTTCAGAGTCCCTACAATTTAAACAAGTCCCTTTTTTCCCCAAAGCAGCACTATCATTCCAGCCAAGAAACAGAAACAGAGAAAATACAGGCAGTGAAAATCTCAATGAATTAAAAAAGCCAAGCTCTGAAAACCGTAAAACCTAAGAGGTTCCGAAAACACAAACACAAATAAATAAATTCTGTTCATGGGTGTTTTCTGAAACAGAACTCCCTGATGTTTGTCTACCTTCCAGTGTACCGACTATCCGACTTTCAGCCTCACCTAACCAAGCCATTCATTCCAGAGCTTGCAGATCCTACATGGGAAGAGCCCAGTGCTCGGTGCTCACATGCGTGTTCTATGTGTGGCTGAGTCTAACCCCACACTCTCAGTGGGTACCCAGAGAAGGGGGCCTCTAGCGCCTAAAACCCAAATTCCCTAATACCTAGGGTCTAAAACCTTCCATCAGGACCCCGGGTTCAGTCCCTGTGAGCCCACACACCCTCAGTGGCTTGCTTCCCCGGCACGATGAAGACGAGCCTCCTGCTTTGCTGGGGGCTGTCGGGGACTGCACGCAGATCCCACGAACTAAATTCGAACCCGTTCGTGTGGAATCAAAAACAAAAAGAAGGTGTTCCGTGGGGATCCATCCCTGTCCTGAAGGTCCCGGTCCGGGGCAGACCCTCCAAAGAGCCTTCCCAGTCTTCCTGGACGGGACCCACACTGGGGGGTTTCACTCTCGCGGTCCCAGAAAAGCCATCGCGCGGGGGACCAGGGCCAGTTGGCCTCCCCCACACCCCCTTTTCACCCAAATTCGGAGCCGGTCATCACCCGCAACCCTCGGACCCTCTTCACGTCTACTCACAAAGTCCTCCAGGGCTGCGCCGGGTCCCGGCGGGACCGCCTCTGAGCCCAGGTGACAGCCGCGCGCCGAGGCCCCCCTGCCCCCTAGGTGCGGCCGCGCGCTCGGGTCCGGGGCGCTCCCTCACGGCCCCGAGCATCCTCCCCCGCGCCGGCAGGGAACCCCGCGCCGATACTCTCGGGGTGCCCGTCGCCCCCGCGCCCGGCCGCCTGCCCGGGCGGTGACTCACCTGCTGGCCAGGTTGGGACGCCGGGTGGTAGCAGGCAGTGGGGCAGGTGGCCGCGGCCACGGGGTTGGGCAGATACTGGGGCGCTCCATACGGCTGCGGGTGATACATCACCTCCGCACAACTCATGGCAGCCGGGCCCGCGGCGGCCCCGGAGCTCGCGCCCCCCGCGCCGCCGCCGTCGCCGCCGCCTCGGGGGCTGCTCCAGCTGCTGCTGCTGCTGCCGCTGCTGCGGCGAAGGCGGGTCCTCGGCTGCCTGGGGCTCGGCGCGGGGTGCGGGCTGCACAGGGATTGGCAATCAGCGGGGGCCCAAGCGCGGGCACCTTCATCTTCAGCCCCTCGGGGTGTCCCCTGGGCCGCGCTTACGGAGCCACTCCGGGACGCTGCCTCCCGCCGCGCGGCCACCGCATGACAGTCCCGGGCTCCCGGGACAGCGCAGCCCCGGCGGCCCGAGTCGGGCAGCTGCTTTGCATAGACACAATGCTCGCCCCGGGCTCGTCCTATCGCGCCAGCTCCGGGCCCGGGGCCGGGGGGCGGGGGCACAGGGAGGGGGCCCGCAGGGGACCAGGGGGAGCGTCGCGCCCCCGCCAGGCCCGGGCTGCAGCGCTCGGCAAAGTTTGCTCCAACTGGGTCCTTAGGCAGGCGGGTCGCCCGGTAGGGGGACCCCGGGCAGGGCCGGCTGCGGATTGGAGCAAAGTTGGAAGCCCTCTCCGCCTCCCCGCGGCGGGTGGGTGGTGGGAGGGGAATGGTATGCGGGAGCCTCCGCGCCCTGCCAGCTGCCGGGGTTCCAAGCCGGCCCCAGAACCCGGCAGGCGGGGCGAGGGTTGCAAAGCTCCAAGATTTGCCTGGGAACTTCGAGACTCCGGGGTACAACAGCAGGAAGCACCCCGTGTCCCGAGAGGTGCCTTGGAGCCGGAGCAAGGGAAACTGCAATTCGTGGCGAAGAATCGCTAGAACCCTGAGTGAGAGTTAACTTGCGTGCAAGTGCGCACACGCCAAGAATGCAACTGTTTTCTCCAGGCGGCGATCTCCAAGTTAAGTTTGCACCTTCGTGCTAAGACATTCTTGGGTTGTGTCAGACTTTTCTGTCTTTTCCAATCCAGTTTCCAACGAGCAAGAGACAATACCAGTCGGATATATCTGTTCGCGATTATTTCAAAGTTTTAGCTCCTTGCAGGTGCTTTACATAACCTTCTTCCAAAACAGAAGTAAAATCTGCACGAAGAGTATGATCGTTAATGGAATCCAGTAGAGCTAAAAATAATTATACTTTAAAAAATATTTTATGAATGAGCAAGGTCTCAGACCTTGAACATAGGGTTCTTCCCTTCTACTTAGGAACCCTCCTTCCCGACAAGAACAGGCCCCTGTATTTTCACAGACACTGTTCTTCGAGAGAAAGTTCATCTGGATGTCAAACACACCGATGCCATATATTGAATTGTGTCTCTGCACAATCCTTCTGTTGAAATTCTAATCTCCTATGTGACAGTGTACTTGGAGACAGGGCAGTGAGGAAGTAATTAAGATGAAATGACTTGAATGACCTCATTAGGGCGGTATCCTCCCTAGGTATCCTTATAAAAAGAGAAAGACACTTCAGGAATCTGTGTCCTGGCACAAGAGAAGGTCATGGGAGGCTTCTCTGAGTATGCCATCATCTGCAAGCCAGGAGAGGTCTCACCAAAAACTAACACCAAGGGCCTCTTGATCTTGGATTTTAGCTTCAGAACGAGAACAATTGTTTTTGGTTTTTAAGCCACCCAGTCATTGGTATTTTGTTAAAGCAGTCCTATCATAATAATACAGATGCACAGGTACGCTATATGACTACAGTTTTAGATAGATGAGGAGAGAGAGAGAAAGAGAGAGAGAGAGAGAGAGAGAGAGAGAGAGAGAGAGAGAGAGAGAGAGAAACAGACAGATAGAGACAGAGTTTTTTTGGTTTTGGGGGGGGAGTAGCCACACACAGCTGTGCTCAAGACTAACTCCTGGTCTGTGCTCAGGGATCACTCCTGGCAGTGCTGCGGGACCACATGGGGTGCAGGGGATTGAACCCTGATGGGCTTTGTGTAAGGCAAAGGCAAATGCCTTACCCACTGTACTATCATTTCCACCCAAATGGAAATGATACCACCAAAATTTCTATACCGGTGCTTTGCACTCTTTTCACTTGCTATTTGCTGTTAAAGGAATGAGTTTTCAAAAGCAAACACTTAGTACCAGATCTCAAATACTTCCAATACCCACGAGCCCTGTTCTAACCATTTTAATAACCCATTAACAGATTTGAAAACTGCTTGTTGCTTTTTCCCAACATGACTATGGGCTGGAGCGATAGCATAGAGGGTATGATGTTTGCTTTGCATGCACCGACAAGGCCAACCCAAGTTCAATTCCGCTGCTACTCTCAGAGAGCATGGCAAGCTATGGAGAGTATCTCGTCCACATGGCAAAGTCTGGCAAGCTACCCGTGAGGTATTCGATATGCCAAACACGGTAACAAGTCTCACAATGTTAGTGGGCCCGCTCGAGCAAATCGATGAACAACGGGAGGACAGTGACAGTGATAGTGACCATGGGATGGCTGAGAGCCGGGTCTGTGACTTTTATCTCTGCATTTCATTTATAGATTGGACAAAGTCTAAATAAGCCCAGGAAAAGCTCTCGGGGAGCCTATAAGCTTGTAATGCATTAAACTCTGAAAGGGATTCAAGATCGAAATCAATAACTATGAGAACCTGGAGACCATGATTTCAAATTCTCTTTCAGGTTTTAAACTATATGTTATATTGAGAAGGTCCTTATGAGGTGAGAATATTTAGGATTTTAGAATGCATGGTGACTCATTTGTGCCACAAGGTTTGTGGGAGAAGCCTTTTTTCAACCATAGACCCCTGCTTTAAGCACTTACACTTTTCACATTATCTTCAAATAGCTGAATACATTTGTAGTTTATTACCTTGTATAATTTTGAGTTCGATAGATGGCTATTTAAAAAAATTATAGATCACCCTGATATAACAGTTACAAAGTTGTTCATGATTGACTTTCAGTCATACAATGTTTCAAAACCCATCCCTTCACCAATGTACATTTCTGGCCATCAACATCCTAGTTTCCTTCCCTTATCCCCACAGTCTGCCCCTATGGCAGATACTTTTCTTCTCTCTCTTCTCTCTCCTCTCTCTCTCTCCTCTCTCCTCTCCATGTCTCTCTTTCTATCTATCTATCTATCTTTCTATCTATCTATCTCTTCCTTTTAGGCACTGTTGTTTAAATTTTATTACTTCATCATGTATATAACCTTACCTCATTTATCGGTACTCAGTTCTTATCCAGAGTCATCATTTACAATTATCATTGTCATAAAGCTCTCTTCTTTGTCCTAACTGCAATTCCCCCCACCCTAGATAATTCTTAACTAGACTATTTTAATGAGTATTTATATAATACAGAGCTAATGTTTTGAAGGCATTGATAGAAAATAGAGCAAATGTAGCTCTGATACACCTGTTCCCCCTTATCTGCATCTTCTTGTGCCCTACATATCCCCTAGCGTACTGATAATTTTTATTGTCCAACCAAAAAACATTCGTTGGATATCAAAAATTTTGCACTCATAAAGTCTGGAGGAATTTATCTAAGTCTCTCTGTAATTCTAAATCTTTAATTTCTTTCATCATAACTATATTGCACTGATTGAAGACGAAATAAAAATAAAGTCTGCCCAAAATTGGAATCTAGAAGAATAGAGTAGAAGGTGAAAATAAATTGTCCAAGATTGGAGTTTTCATTTGGTTATAAATAAAAGGTAGGTTATTTACTCTTATGAAGACTTAGGTTTGAAGACTTGGTAGCAGAACAGAAGCACTAATTTTCCCCAAGTAGATATCTAGGGTTTTACAATTAAAAAAAATTAAGTTCATGTGTGCTCAAAAACAGTCTTTATAAATAAGCAAACATGTAGACCTAGTAAAATCTCTCAGAAAACTAGAGAAAAATTAAAATCCGAAGCCATTGGCCTCTTGATTCTTGTTTCAGTGTTCTATCATCACATGATAAGGGCGTGTAGTGTATAAATATTTTCCACACACACATGCATGTGTATGCACACACATATATACCTATTTTATATAAGTATAATTACATGTACACACAAGTCTTCATGTGTATGAAACAAGTGTATTTACATGTATGAAATAAGAGTTTTTAATTGGATCATTCTTTTGTTTTCTTCATGTTGCTGAAAAAGGGTGGAGAGAAATGAATAATAATTGTTTCTAAGTGACTCACCAGGATCAGAGAATGCCACCTGACCACTGTACATATTGTCATATCTATTACCCAAGGTTTCATAATTATTTGAAATAAAGTAGCACTGGGATCAAACCTGAGTATTTGTACTTCTGAGCTAAAGTTCCTCAGATCTTTTCATCTTTTTATTTTTCCTCTTTCATTCAGAATTCTCCATTTCTCATCTGGTTTAGTCCCGCTCTGGAATCACATCTTATCCATCTAGTGTTTATCCTCCTACTCTTTTCATTCCAACCACTGCAACCTCAATATTCCCAACTCTTTTGAGTCAGGGCTTTATAATTGCACTTTAACCCCGCCTATTTAATTTCCAAGAACAATCCAGAATATGCCAGCAAAAACTTAGTGAGATGAATTTCCCAAACCAGTTGAGGAGTGATTACTGGAGAGGTTAATTGATATAGAATTCCCCAAGACTTTTAGGTATGATAGGAAAAATGAGAGACATTATCTTCTTTTAGTAATGAGCCTAGGATTTTCCTTAGACTGGAATCCCAGTGTAAGACAGCATGTGGAGTCTATAACTCACACAATTCACACATGTATCTCTCTTACTCTCTCTTTATATATATTTTTATGTGTACATGAAATGGGCTGGAACGATAGCACATTTACTTTGCACGTGGCTGACCCAGGTTCGATTCCTCCATCCCTCTCAAAGAGCCCAGCAAGCTACTGAGAGTATTCCATTTGACCTCTGCCATCAGAGTCTGGCAAGCTCCCTGTGGCGTATTCGATATGCCAAAAACAGTAACAAGTCTCTTAATGGAGACGTCACTGGTGCCCACCAAGCATATTGGTGAACAATGGGAGGACAGTGCTACAGTAATACAATATTTTATATATATCCTATATAAATTTTATATAATTTTGTATAAATTTTTGCATAATTTATATATGTATATATAATATTTTTATATATAGTTATATAAACCCATCTCCAAAACCACCCAACATTTTGTTCTTGATCAGCTCATTGGCCTAATCTGAGTTTATGGGTGTTGCAGTTTGCTCTAAAAATCATAGCTTTGAGAAAGTGAGTATGGATCATCTATAGCAGTAATCTGAGGTCTTTAATGCTTTAAGCATAGTAGTTTAGGCAGAATAATGTCTAGACAAGTGCATTAGAAGGTATTTTTCTTTTAATCTGGAAACCA